GTATATATATATATATGAAAAAAAGAAAGTTTGGATTTTAGTTTGGATTGAAAGTTTCATAAGAAAAATAATTTCTAATTAATTTCAGTTAGTCTTTATGATTTGATTAAATGAAAGTAATTTTTTTTAATTTTGATATATATATAAGACATAAGATAATAACGTAAAATAAATTTAAAAAGCTTCATTTTAATTCTAATTTTAATTTTAATCTGAAAATTATTACAAATACAAATTATATTTAATATTTTAATATTTTAATTATTTTAAAATTAAAAAATTAATAAAAATTATTATAATTTTGAGCAACTATTGAAAAAATCACAAAATAATTATAAAAATTATAAAATATTAATTTAATCAACTATTAAATAAATATTAGCAATAAAAATAAATTTTTTAATATGATTATATTATTTTATTAGTTTTTATTAATTTCTTTGACAAATTCATTAATATTATTTTTAAAAAGATGTCATTTTAATAAATAAGAAAATTTACATATTAATCGAAATAAAAATTATATTTAATTCAATACAACAAAAAATATCTTTTCATTCTCAATTGTATCTACTAATTAAATTTTTCTAAATAATATTATATAATATAAATTAAAAATTTCTCTATTTATATTCTTGCCAATAATTCAACATGTGATTAAGTAGTCAAATTATTATTCAAATATCAAAGAACATATCGTATATATTATAAGTGTTTTCAAATATGTATTCGACTTTCTTAAGTCATGTTCTCTCTCTCGAAACGGAAATTACTGATCAACGATAAAAGCAATCATGATGTTTCAAAGAAGGTCCTCATCGCAGATCGTATTTGAATTCGCACTTTGATAAACTTTGCACGCTTTACTATTCCTTAAGAGAGTTTTGAATTGTTACTAAATATCAATTTCTAATATCATGAACTTGAATTTTCAAAATGTTTATTGATATATAAGCAATAGATATTATATTGTCATTGTGAAAATTGAACAAGTAACTTTTTCAAATTTTCCTAATTTTATCTAACATTGAATAATATCGTATAATATCGTCAATTGTATAAAAATAATTGTATAAAAAACATATTTATTTCAACAAACGATTTATTAGTAATGATCGAATAGTTCATGAATGTATTGTCTCGATTATTTCCAAATAATATTCGAAAATGGAATATAAATGAAGTTTGGCACGTGTCATCCACAGATCGCAGTGAATAAAAGAGACAATACGGAATCATCCTTGAGAACTAATTAAATTTTCTGCAAGGATATCCTTGATGGAAATTATCCCGTGAAACAATCGAGGCAGTGAAATCACCTTCAGAAATATCCATTTGCACTATCCTTGTTAATTGTCTAATAAATATGCATTATAGAAATTTTTTCTTTCAATTTATTCTACAACATATAAGAAAGAAAGAATGTGTATAGGAAATCTACATTTTTTAATACGTAAAAAGTTTCAACAAGTTTTAAAAATAGAAAAGATTGAATCTTTGATATTTTTATTCGAGAAGAAATATAATTTAGATTTATTGAATTTATCAAGACACATAGATATAAATATAAAATTTTATATTTATTAAATAATACTAAAATAAAAAATTACTAATAAAATATGGAAAATTTGTTTAATAATTTTTTGTATTATAAAAATATTTTAATCGTATCTTTTTATCATATATCATATATCATGCGATTGATATACGGATCCTTTCATATATTCAGTCCTCATTTATCATACACGAATGCAATTATAAAATTTATTTTAGTTAAAAATTATTATTTTGAAATAGAAAACAATTTTATTAATATTTTAAATTAACATAGTTCACAAAAATAATCTTTTCTGTGATATGATTAACATAAATAATATAAATAATATAAATATAAGGAATATAAACTTTCAAAAACAATTTTCAAAAAAAATTTCATGAATAAAAGAAAAAAATCAATAAACAATATTGTAATGGATGCAAAAATAAAGATGCCGATGGCATTATGAAACTTTCTGATGAACCAGTGGGAGTAAACCGTGTTCTGGGTAAATTTATAGTGTGAAATTAAAAAACTTATCATATTTGAAAAGTTGTCGCGATCTTGGTGAAGTTTTGCGACAACAAATAAAACTTAACAATGAATGGAAGTAGGAACTGCTGGTATAAAGAATAATAACATCTTATCAACCACCCTCAGAAAATCGATTGGTTCTTATTTCTTTATTTTGTGATGGCATAAAAAAATATCATATTTTTAATTTCTTCTTAAAGCAAAGATTAAATATTTTTAATAGAATCGAAATATTGTTTTTTTTTTCAAAATAAACTAAATAATTACTACAAAAAGTTCCTTCAATTAAATTAATTATTAAGATTGATATATTTTTTTAAAGAATATTTTTCTCAATTTTTTAAAATTTAACAAAATTATTTGTTTCCTATGATAAAAATCATTCGTGTATAAATGAAGAATATTTTTTTATTATTAGATTATAAATATTTTTTTACGAATTACATTATTCAAGATATTATAAATTTATTAATCAATTTAATTAAATCAATTTAATTTAGGTATTAATTAAAATAAAATTTTTAAATATTTTTACGATATTTATAATTAAATATTTAGTACGAAATATTAAATAAATGAATCATATAAATTGTTAAAAATTTATTTTTTTTGATGTTAAAAATTTAATATTAAAATTAAATGTCCCTAAGTTTAAGAATTTCTAATATAAATTCTTCTAAAAAAAAATAAATTACGATTATTATATTTTGATTAATTTTATATCAGATTACAACTTCATTTATATTCTAATAAAATATAATAATATAAAATAATTAGTTAATAAAAAAAAAGCAGGATTATAAAAAAATATTTGAATTAAAAAAAATTAATGAAAAAATATTTTGATTCATTTTTTTTTTACCAATATAGTAGCATGTGTTTCATTATATCCAAAATATAGATACACTATTGAAAAAAAACAATAAAGTGTATATATATATATATGAATAAGCTTTCACAATAACTGATATCCATGTCCTTCATGATTGATCGTTTCAATTATCTGATTTTTATTGTATGCTAGTCATATATCAATAGCTATAATTTACGCCTCAAAGCATAGAATAATAATTCCTATCGTAATTACAAAAATGTCAACTTTTCGAATGAAACAATTTTTTTTTTTCTTTCAAGTAAAAAGTTCCTTCAATTAAATTAATTATTAAGATTGATATATTTTTTTAAATAATATTTTTGTGTTTATAAATTTTTCTTAGTGAAAATTTAATTAGTTTTAAATTATTACTATTGAAACATGTAATTTATATTATTATATTTTATCTTTAGATCTTTAAAATGTGTCTTATATTACTCTCGTTAAATGCGGATTTAAAGAAATATTTCGAATTAAATTCTTTGACGAAACATTCTAATTTTTAAAGTTTTTCAAAGAAAATAATTATTAAATTTTCTATTAACGTATGTGTAATATAGATCATACTTATTTACATCGATGTACATATGTATAAAATATTAATATATTCGTGAAATACTTTCAGAAAGACAATTTTAAAGAACAAACAAATATAAAAGTTGATTATGCAAATATTATATCTATATATAAAATATTAGTTGAAATTCAATTTAATTTTAATAATTTTCTAATAATAAAATTTAGAACTAAATTTATAGTGATTGAAAAAAATATTTTAAAAGAAAAATACAAAAGTTTAAATTCTAAACTAAATATAATCTAAATCTATATTTAATTTATTTTAAATAATATTCACTAGGATAATTAAATGTACCAAATTTATTATCAAATATTGTCAGAGATTCATTAGATAAATACAATTATTTTTATCTAAATAGTAATTTGTTTAAAGAATGATATACTTATTTATAATAAATTAAAAAAAAATTTTTAAATTAATTCATTTAAAAAAATTTTTTATCATAAATAAATCGTCAATTTTCAATTGTGAAACTTGATTATTACTAGTATGTACGGTTCGAAGTATCTCGAATTTCAAACTAATCCATTTGATCAGAGAATTCCCTTTGTTCCTCGGGTTTGAAATTTTAAGGCCGTTAATAACTGAATGATCAAATTCTAATGATCAAATTCTTTAAAAATTTTTAATAAGCACCGTTTCAGAAAATATGATCATCAATATACTTTCAGAAAAAAACTTAATATTCTTGGATCAGTTATTAAAAACAAATAATAGAATACATACGTATTTATACAATTTAATTGTCTTATTAGCCAAAGAACAAATAGAATTTTATAAAAGTTTATTATATAAAAAATTGTTATAATTTAAAAGAGAAAATAGTTTATATAATAATCCTTTTTTTATACTCAATTTTTTTATATTATATTATAATATAGTAGAATTTAAATATTTTTTTTATTAGAAATATATAAAACTATTAATATATAAAACTATTAAAAATAAAAAAAATTAATATTTTTAGAAATGTTAAAAATAAAATAGATAAAAAAAATTATGTTTATGAATGATAAAAAAAAATTACATAAATATAAATTAATGAATATTTTATCAAATGTAAAAAACGATAAAATTCTTTCTATAATCCTTTCATATTATCATATTATCATCCCTTAAAATATTTCTTTTTTTAAATGAAAATTGTATAAAATTTATGTATTCTTTTAACGAATGTTAAAATTAATGAATATTAATTAAATGTCATTCTGCTAACTTACATTTTAAAATATAATTCAAAAACCTACTCTATTCATCCGATTCTAGCATAATCTATCGAAGAAACTACCAACCTATCCTATTCGCAACAAAAGTTGTCGCAACAGGAAGACTATCTTAAAATCTACCCTTCAAACTTTCCTCACTCCTAACACGTATGAGAAGGAAAATTGCCGCGAAACAAGGTCGTAGCACGAAACAATTGAATGAAACGCGGTAAGATGAAAAGGGTCGTAAACTAAGAGAAAACTACTCACCAAAGGTAACCGTATCTCGTTGATTACTGCAACGTAGAGCAAAAGGGTGACGAGATGGTTTCCAGTCAGGCTCATTTCGCAAACTAAATCACTAATGTCCTCGCAATGCAGTTCTCCAAATCTGAGTACCGGCTGTGTACGCGTAAGCTTCCTTATATAGGCCATTTCAACCATGCGCAGGCGTTCCAACCCCCATAGAGCACACCTACACCAAATGGTACACGCTGTATATACACCATCGATGAGGGTTCCTGTTGATGATAACCACGCAATATGCGAGGAACCCATGCTGCAAAACTCGTCTTCATCCGATGGACCACTTTGAAAAAGAAGAACAGAAAAAGAGAAAGAGAGAAACAGAGAATGAGGGGGGGGAAAAAGGAAGAAGGGCAATAGAGTGATCGAGGTGGATGAAGAGAAAGAGAGAGGAGAGAGACAGGCTATTTTTTAAGCAGGACTCGGTTAATATACCCGTGGATTATTGCGTGTCCATTGAGGAAAACTGGATGACTCGGTTGCTCGTTTTTTATTGGCACTTTTAACTTCCCTTTCTCGTTTCTTTTTTTAGTTCTGTTTATTTTTATTCCCGCCTCTTTTTTCTTTTTGTTCTCCCTCGGAGAAAGATAGCTCATTGATTCTCCCTCCAGTTGAAGAAGCAGAGACATTGTAGGGAGTCGCATTGTCACCGACACTTGATAATTGAATCGAGGACAAAGACCTTCTGTGCGACTTTATTTGAGGCAGCGTGTTGGGGATAGAGGGATATATATCATACCGGTGAGGTGTTACCGAGAGACGTGTGCATGCGAATGCTGTCGCGGTAACTTTTCGCGGTTTTATTTTTGAGCTGGATCGAGATTGAAAGTGGCTAAAATTAGCTTGTAATGCTTATTCCAGAGGAAAATGGGAATGGATGGCGAAGGAAAAGGAATTGGTTGCGAAATGGTTACGTAATAAGGTAAAATAGAAGAAATTAAAATTATGTGATTATTTTGTAACAATGAAGAAAATCTATCTATGTTTTTCTATTCTTCTATATTTTGCATACAGATGAGTTCCAAACAAATTTGACATTTGTCATTTTACATTTCCATTTACATTGCATTTTCTATCCATTTTGCATTGACATTTAGTATTTTATTAGAGATATTGCAAAGATTCTGAAATTTTAAAATTTTGTTTAATTTTTGTTATATTAATTATAATTTCTTATTGCTTATTTTTATATTATAATTTTATTGTATATTATTATACAATATAGATATGGAAAATAATACTTTTTATAATTTTCAATAATCTAATATATCTAAGTTTTATTTAAAATTATCATATATCATATAATATGAAACATTATTTCCCAAAAACAACATACTTACTATGAATTTTTGTAATAATCATCAAATTAATGAAAATATTAATTTTTATAAAAAATTCGAATTTTAATAATTTAAAGATCATTATAGAAGAAAACTTTTGTGTTCATTACAAATAACATAAAATAATAATAATATTTTATATCTTGCATTTTATTTCATTCTTCTGCATAATTAGTAAGAATGGAAAAATTTTTTAAAAATTTTTGTATTTGTTAAGAATTTCAAAGTATATAATAAATAGATTAGAATTATTTGAATGAAAATGTGTAAAAAATATAAAAATATAAAAAAAAACTTTTAATAAAATTTTTTTCATTATTCATTAATATGTTTATTTATTTTCAGAATAGTATTTTATTAAATATTTAAATATTTTATCATAATATTCCACACACATATATATGTATTTAATTTTAATATTATATCAATTCATAAAAGCTTAAATTTTTTTTTGCATCAAAAAATTTTAGAATTTTTTTATTAAAATACAAAATAATAAGATAAATTAAAAAATATAGCACAATACATAAATATATTTTTTGAAAAATTTAGATTATCAGAAATAATATTGTTAAAAAAAAAAAATAAAAAATCATAAAAAGAAGCAATCATGCTACATCGATGTTGACCTGTGCAAAACTATACGGATCGATGCAGTATCCAAATGTAGTGCTATACTTTTAAAAATAGTTTGAAAATGCTTTTCCTCAAATCTTGAAATTTCACGTTTCACGTAAAAAGGATATCTATTTTTTTTTATATATATCCTTAACTATTTTACTTTTTATTCATTTAATAATATTAAAATGTAAAAAATTAAAATTTTTTTATAAAACAAGCTTTTTCATTACAAGTTTTAAGATATATTCTATTCATAAAACGACATTATTTTTTGAAATATAATATGTTACATAATTAAATTGCTTATTGCTTTTCTTATCATTTAATGATCATTTGATGAAATAATAAATAATTAATAATAAAAAATATAACTCGATACAATGGTAATATATTAAAAATACCGAGGTTATCGTGGTCACTTATTCGATATTGGAAATTGAATTCTAAAAATATCGATAATTTTATGAAAAACGTAATTTTAAATAAAAAAAACGTGAATATTTTAATAATTAAATCTACTAAATTTTCTTAATGAATTCTGTTTACAGAATAAATTTTTAGTTCTGAAATTTATACTCGCTATATGCATAAAATTTTCTTTTATCACGTTTATTTATTAATAATAAATTAATAAATCATAATTAATCAAAACTGATATTCGTAATAATAATAATTTATCTATATTTTTATATCAATTAAAAAATTAATTTTTTTTTTAATAATTTTTAAAATCTTTACTTTTTTTCAATCATTTCTGCAAATATAAAATTTAAAAAATTATGTTTCTATATTATAATTTATATTAAAAATTAAATATTTAATCTAATATATTTAAAAATATGAGATATTAAAATAATTTCTGATATATATTGAATGAAATACAATAAATATGATGAAATAAATATCATTAATAATATTTTATGTTTAAAATTTTATATTTTTTTGACAAAATTATAATGAATACCATCTAAAAATCTAAAATAGCAGAAAAATTTAAATTGCTAAAAACGTAAAGAAATAATTAATTAAGAAAAAAATACTAAATTATCAATACAATTTATCATACATTTGATTAAGCAATTTTTATAATTAAATATCAAAGTTTTTTTTTCTATTAATTTATTGAAAAATAGAATGTGAATAATAAATACAGGAGTCTTTAGATTTCGTGTATCGATTACACGTGCTGTAAAAACCAGAATATGGTGCGCATCCCTGACGTCGAAAAGCGGGCATCGTATTTTGATACAAGTTTCTTTGGGAATATACAATTTCAAATATAATTGAAAGCATCTCTGATTTCGATCCAATAAGCGTAACATCTCAAATAAGACGAATATGCAATTATTTTTATATGAAAATAAATGAATAACTATATTTAAATATAAAAATTCTGCTAAACAAAAATTTGACAAATTATTAATTCAAAATTTATCAAAATATCTATAAATATAATCTAATAAATATAATTATATGAAAATATATATATATATATACATATTAAGAAATATCATATATAGAAAATAAAATATAATTTCTTTAATTATAATTAAAATAATTTGTTTAATAAACAAAAATAATAAATCTGGAATTCGCTATTTAGGCTAAAGAATATAATAATTCTAACATATTAATATATCTAATATATTAATTCTAATAATATTAATCCTAATTTTAATTGATTCATCAATTAATAAAACAACTACTATTTGAATTTTGTAGGTGAACTTAATTTTTTAAAACTATTTAATATATTTTTGTTATGATAAAATATAAGAATGAAAATAAATTGAAAATTGTTTATAAAATAACTAGAAAAAACTTTAAAAAAGGAGTTAAAATACGCAAAAAATGACTATAAAACTTATTTATTATATCTTATCAATTTTGTATAAAATATTGATTTATCATTACAGGTCACACAATGGATACGTGTACAAGCTATTGCATAATTTCTTATTACTACGCGTATTATGTTATTTAAGACCCAAGAAAATCTATATACTGTCATTTAACTAAAATTATTTATATACGTATATGTATATGTATCTATATATTAATGAATTAGCAAATATGTATTCATATCTTTTTTGAATCAGATTAAATAGAAAAGTACGATTTACGAATAATTTAAATTTAAAATTCACACGAATAAATACATAGACAGATATTCTTATTACAAATAAGATTTTTCTAATCAACAATATCGTATCAAACGATTAAAAACAGCAAAATTATTAAATAAATCAAAATTCTTTAAAAAAATAAATGAAGCAAATTTATTCTCCTAATTTTAACTGAAAAGAACTATTTTTCCAAAATAAACACAATATTTGACTAATATCTAATTTTTTTTTATATTTTCATTTAAAAAATTCAAAAGGTTCAAAGAAATTAATTTTAAAACTTAATTAATAAAAATGAAGAAAGAAATATTATTCTTCGTGTTAAAAAAACATACTATGCTGTTTAAACATTTACTTAGAATTAGACAATTAATTTATAACACATATATAAAAATGGCGATTAATCATGAACACATAATTTGCTACGTTCGCTAATGGAAATTATTATCATTATGATATTATTATTATTATTATTGTGTTATTGTAATAATTATTATTATATTTTATTCTTCATGAAATGAAAGTTAAATTTGAAACTTTGATAGTCAAAAATGCACAGATATTTGTTCGTTCGAGGCACTCGTACATTTCACATCGATCGTAACATTCACTTATGTATAACGATTGACATGTAGTCACCATATCTCGAGAACATTGTAAAAATGCTTATTTCTAATATTTAAAGCTTATCATTTCTTACAATTAATAATAACTCAATGTTCCACTTACAATAACCATTTACTATTGTGTATTTAACATTCCTTTTTTTTTATTTATTTTTCTTTTTATATATATAATTTTTCTTATATTCTTATAGCGATATGATGAATATTAAATATCGTATGTACAAAAATTTTTTTTTTTTAAATTATATAACATCCCAACATAAAAATTTAATCAATGAATAATAAGTACTTGTTCATCATTCAATAGTAAACGAACAAAGTATCGATAAAAAAAATTTTAAGAAATAAATTTATCATATTCATACAATGAACTGAGAAATAACTGGCAATCAATAATAATATAAAAATAATAATTTTCTTGTTTACATATTATA